GATCTACTAGATAGCAATGGCTTGGTTTAGGGGCATGGGGTTTCCAAGACCGAAGTCTGTATGGAAGCCAACTGTCACACCTTCTTTCCAGAGTGGTTTGTGGGTTTAAACTGCCCACCGTTCCATCAGCAGACAAATGCTTTCTCCACGGTACCACTACGACTCCTTCATAGAAAAATCCCATTTCTCCAGATTAGATCACATTCACAGGAATAGAAGTTAGGACTTCAACATATCTTGGGGGAAACACAAATAAATGTATTGAAGGGATTTCACATAAAACCTGGGGGGAAACAAGGTTTTAGAATAACTTTATTTTAAAATAATGTTGCTGGAAATGAAAGTGAAATTTTGCTGCGACAGACTCTGAGGAAAATTCTAGAGCTGTTAAAGAAAAAGGAACAAAACACACCAATTACAGTCAGGTAGATTTCAACTCGGGGCAACTCCATATGTTTCAGAGTTAGAAGTGCACTTCTTAAATGCTTTCATGGTTGTAATAGTACGGAAGCTGATCGCTAAGCCCATTTTCCATGGTGCCACCAGGTGAGTCTGAATTACCTTTAGGAGAGTAAAAAAAGCAAAAGCAAACCCATTGCCACTTGACACTGACTCCCAGTGACTCTGTATAGGGAGGGTCTCTGAGACGAAATATTTATGACAGCAGACAGCGTCATCACTCCTAAGGAGTGACTAGTAAGTTTGAACTTCCAACCTTTCTGTTAGCAACCTAATGCTTACCCCACAGTGCAGGTGGGCACCCTTTTGAAGGCAGTAGTCCAGGTGGGCACCCTTTTGAAGGCAGTAGTCCAGGGTGCACTTTTGCATGTCCTAGGGACCTGTTAAGGACTCCACAGTTTGGAGGCACCAGCTACCCCATGGGAGAAAGAGGAGGGAGGGTGACAACTTCTCTAAAGATTTGCAGCCTGGAAAATCAAAAGGGGTCATGGCTACTCTCTCCTACAGGATCATTCATGAATGAGAATTGGTTAAATGGGAGTGAGTTCGGGGTATTTTTAAGGGAAATTGTAGGAGCCCTGGTGGCATTATGTTCAAGTGTTTGACTGCTAATTACAAGGTTCAAGCCTACTGCTGTTATAGGAGGAAAGACTTGGCTCTCTACTCCAAGCTTTCAGCCCAGAAACCCTGAGCCAGTTTTCCCATGTTCTATATGGTGAATTAACTGAACTAAACTCAGGAGAAATACTAGCTTTTCTACTCCCGTAAACAGGTAAAAGTTACAGTCTAAGAAACTCACAGGGCAGGTCAACCCTGTCCATAGTGTTGCCGTGAGTCTGGATTGACTCGGCAGTGAATGACAGGATACGAGGAGTTGGAATGGACTTAATAGCATGTACCAATTACACAGAGCCCTTTCAAGCGTTCCACTCTCGTAAAAAGTGAGTCTCAGGAATCTACAGGGTGCAGTTCTACTGTGTTCTATAGTGTTGCTATGAGTTAGAATTGACTGAAGGTTTTAAGGGTTTTAAGGGTTTGTACAAAAACCTTATTTCACAAAATTTACATTTAAGTCTCAGTTTGTAGTAGAGCTCGTATACTTACTTACTAGCTTTACTTCTAGTGCAATACTTTCAATTAATTTCGACATATGCCTAATTCACCTAAATCACCTATTTCTATACAGTCATCTGTAGTAGTTTAGGCCACGCGGTATTGTTTTGTTGGTAAGTTCTCTATCAACTATTCAACGTAGTTATTATTTAATTCACTTTAGGGGCCATCCTACAATTTCAATTAGGGGATTCTCCAACTTGCCACTACAGAAGCCCTGTTGGTATAAGGGGATACATGTGTTGGGATGAAAACAGCAAGGTCAGCAAGTTGAAACCACCAGTCCCTCTGCAGGTTCACAATGAGGCTTTGTGCTCCCATTAAGAGTTACAGCCTCTGAAACCCAAGGTAGCAGTTCTACTCTAGGGGGTTATATGTAGATCATTGTGATTGGCTCCCCATTTCTCCTCCCCACCTTTCTCTTACCCTCCTGGTATCACTACTCTTAGGGGGACCCTGAGTCAGAATTAACTCAGTGGCTGTGAGTTTTCACCTGCCCTTAAGAGATGGTACTTACTTGTACACATTTATGCCTTTGTCAATATTTGAGCCCTACAGCATGTCAGAGAGTACACTGCACTGATGAACAAAGAGAAGAAGGAGGGACTAATGAACGTTCACTAAGATCACTTGAGCCTCATATTGGTTGAAAGGAAAGTTTGGGACTCTCAAGTATCTTCTAGAGCTGCTGGTATCATCAGTTATTTAAGTGTTTAATACGAGATGATCAACAATGGGAGGTGTGTTAGTCTGGGTACGTTAGAGAAACAAATCCACAGAAACTCATATAAGAGAGAGTTTTATATAAAGAGTAAGTGCACATCAA